CTTTGAAAGTTAGGTTAGTTAACTGGAAAATAACCGGAAAATAACCAGACCTAACCACAACACTAACCTAACCGTGGTTAGGGTTAGTTGATTTCGAAAATGAAATAACCGGTTATTTTGCGGTTAACTAACTGTTAAATAACCGGTTATAACCAGCCCTATTATACACCTTCAAAACGCACTTGAGAACGTCGAAAACACTTAAAATTTGACTAAGTTACGGTCAAATCTCTAAAATATCACTCAAATGTGTAGACTTTCAAGGATAATTGCATAAATATGTCAATTCTTCACCGATTTTAGCGTTCTTGGGCTCGTTTTAAAGCTAGAATATGCAGAAATAATATCTATCAAGATACATATGAGCATATTTGCTTTGTTATAACCGATTCTTTATTTTTTGATCCTAACCGGTTAGTAACTGCAAATAACCGACCGCAACCAGTTAGTTGCGGTCCGGTTAGGTTATTTTAGGTTTTGGGACAAAGGCTAACTGGTCTCGGTCTCGGTTAGAGCCCCTGGGCACCCAATAACTGGACTTTCGAACACTACTGCCGGTGGAGTCTACGGTTGCAAACATGAGGCCACCGCTACACATATTATACCAGACTCGGGTTCCTTTCTGACGAATCATCAGCTGGTTACAACCAATGGAGATATACAGAACCTATGGGGTAGGGGTTGGGTGGAGGGATACCCAACAGACTCCAGATTGTCATGGGGGTGAAGTTATTCATGTCACAGATGAGGGGGGTGAAGATGGGTCCTTGAAATGTGAGAGGGTTTTTAAAGGGGGAAACACACATGTTTTCAGGTTAAATTACAACCCTCAATGCAACCCTATATCAGAAGCATAAATGATGGCGGCACAGGCCTCAAGGCCAAATTGCAAAAAAGAGTTGAAAGAGTCATAAACATAAGCATGGCCAGGGATTGAACCCAGAAGCCAACTACCATTAGACCATGCTGGCTTCCAAAGATTGTTGGTAAATCTGGGATAAGCGGTGAATTCTTGATTTCGACTCCAATGT